TTTTCAATGTAGTTTTTCAAAAGCTTTACCATGAAGTCCGTGTCCTGAAAAAATGAATGAAGAAAATGTATAACCACAAAGCATCAATGTACTATTTTAACACTTTACTTTAGGTGCATTTGGTTGACCAATTCTGTAAATAGCTCTAATCACCTGATTATAAAGATCCTGTGTCCTCTTTGGATCTTCAAGCTGAGCCTGAAGAGCAACTTTGAGCACCTCCCGAGTAATCATCTCCCTCAAATCCCCCCAACTCCCTGATTCTCCCATAGTATTCCTGGGAAGCTTTGAGGAGAATGGAGAGTCCTGGAACTGGCTGCTTGGGATACTCTTCTTGCCCATGAAATGACCTGAAGGAGTCCAAAAAACGGATTTAGTAGTTGTACTGTAATTGCACAACCACTGAATTCAAGATTAAATGAAAACATACCTGTTGCCCAGAGATTCCCACGTGGATGCACATTTATTTTGGAAACTTTATTTCGCAGCTCCGTTAAATCGAGACTGACTGCGGTGCTTAACGATATGTTAAAAAGCATAATGAAAGCAACCAGTCTATATTTGCAATGTCCATCTTCAGAACTCACAGCCATCTTCTCAAGTAACTGTAGATGGATTCCTCCGTTCAGATTCAATGATCGCAAGCGCTCTTCGTTCTTCTGCAGGCGGTATTTATAGGGGCACAGTGGGGTGGGATGCCAAACGGCTCTGAGGTCATAGTTTTAGTCACTGAACTCGCATAACGACAGCGAATGTTTAGTCTGTTTGATTGAGGATGGGAAACACTATGTGACGTGCGTTGGCTGTGCGCATGCAATTGAATTGAATTGAATTGAAATATATAATTAAAAAACGTTTTGAGGCGTTGCGAATTCATAAAGCTTAGGAATCGCATGCATGTAATAAAGACAGAATGGTTCTGAGGAACAGACAACGTCAGAGGTGTCTTACCTGGGCTAAGGAGAAGAACTGGACTGTTGCCCAGTGGTCCAAAGTCCTCTTTTCAGATGAGAGCAAGTTTTGTATTTCATTTGGAAACCAAGGTCCTAGAGTCTGCAGGAAGGGTGGAGAAGCTCATAGCCCAAGTTGCTTGAAGTCCAGTGTTAAGTTTCCACAGTCTGTGATGATTTGGGGTGCAATGTCATCTGCTGGTGTTGGTTCATTGTGTTTTTCTACTTCAAAATGTCACCTTTAATTCATTGTGTTACGTGCCATTTCATTGTAATTGTTGGTGAAATGTTAGCAATTTCAGAGTAAAAAATGTTACACCTTACCCCCCCCCCCCAGTGTGTGAATCCTAATATAATACAAAAACACTTTTCATAAGAAATTAAGAGAATGAACAAGAATTAATTTATAAAAGAATACACTTTCAAATTTGGCTCAACATTTTTATTCAATACAAAATTTAGCCTTTAAGAAAGAGTTAGATCTTGACATATGGTGCAAGTACAGCTGTAAAGTCAGATCAAACAAAAACTGAATTTGGTATGACATGGAAAAGTAACAAATACAAATTCTTCCAGTAGTTTTTGTGTTTGCATTGTCATTAAACAGAGAAAATTATAATTTGACCTTGAGCAAGTGCAGGAAAAAACACCATAAAAACTGGTCACAAGAGGGACGCGTGTTCCCTGATGGCGCTACTCTCAAAATTCTTCATTCTCTGTGTACCAAAACAAACAGCCCGAGCAAACACAGTACAGCATACTGTCAGGGAACAAAGCACAAGTGTTAGAACAACTGCGATGTAACAACTTCTCATAATTTAAACAGGATTCATTACATACCTTAAATTTGGGGTAGTCATTCATCAAAATTGTGACAATTCCAATGTAAGGCACAAACCTGTCATAGAGGACGTGTGATCAGAAATACAGTGACATGTGCAAAGCAATGTAATGACATGCAATAAATAGAACTTACATTAGAGTGCAACAGTTGGCTTCTGGAAGTAAAACTTTCTCCATGGGGAAATAGATTTTTAACAATAAACTATATAAACCTTTACAGGCAAATCTGTTGTGAGCTATGAAGTTGTTAATCAATGGTATATGCTTTTGTTGAAGCCATCAGCCCACATAATTTTAACTTATTTTTAACAGTGGAATTCTTAATGTAAAACTACATTGCCCATTTTGCTGTGCAGAAAGTCCCACCAATCAGAGAGTTGTAGCCAGTAAAATCGCACCAAAAGAGCTTGCAGAAAAGTCAGACATGAAAGCACTCTAAACTAGATCAGATTTATTTGCTTAAAGATGACTAGGGATTCTTACCCCCTTGCTCTTCCCACCACGTCTTTCTTCTCCAACCAGTGCTGTCCCTGCTTGTAAAGGCCTCTGTCATCCACAGAATTATTGTCACCTTTCGTCAAGAACTTGACATCACCATTTTCTCTGAAATCAGTAGAGATCAATGTTATTGGAAGGAACAAAGACAGGCAGTATGATCAGAAAACCACAAATGGCACAACTTAATACGAATACATACAGCTCTATCCCTGATAATCTAAACTTTTCATGATGTGAATTAGACTGGGATCTTGTTAAAAACAAGCACACCATCTCAATTAAAGGTGCACTAAGTGATTTTTGAGAAACTCTGTTTATAGTTGAAATCACCAAACACATACATGCCCCGCCCCCTACCCAAAAGGATCACGCCTCTATCTTAATAGCTCCGCCCCCAACTTCACAAACATGCTTTGCAGCACAGGCAACTCCCCTATCATGAGTGGACACGCCCCTTACTGGTGATTGGCTAGAAGTGTTTTGATGCTCGGTCCGATCCACTTTCAACAACGTTTCTCAGAAATCACTTACAGCACCTTTAATATTTTCAGCCCAAGCTATGGTGAAAATGTACTGCGTGTGAACACTCTCGCATTCAGGAAAACTTGCATTTTTGTAAGTTTTAAACATGCATCTTGTAAATATACGATACTTACTTTTCATGAATTTTTAGGACTCTGTGTACGATGGGAATTTCTCTTCCCTCAATCCTGAACACAACAATCTCTCCCACTCTGATTGGATCTTCAACACGATTTGTGAGAAAGAGGAGGTCTCCTCTGTGAAACGCAGGCTCCATGCTTCCACTACAATAATAATGACATTAACAATTACACTTCACTGATGTAAATGTGATAATTTGTATCGTCTTGTGCAGCATTTGAATCATATGCCTCGATTATGTTTCAAACATCCTAGTGGGTTGCATATTTGGCTTCCCAACAAAAAGCTGGTTTTAAGAAATACTTAAAAAAAAAAAATAAGATTCATAAACTGATTTCAAAATTAAAACATGCAGGTTCAAAAAAACTCTAAAGTCACGTACATTTTAAGAAAAGTCTATAAAAAATCGGGCCCAATGCTAAAATGATGGAATTTTTCGAATGCGTTTTACCTGTATTTTGAATTACGCATTGCATTATGTTGTATTTTAGTTTAAGGAAGTTTCCATAAATTTAATGGATAACGTCTTGGAAGAAATTCACCAGTACTTTTTTTTGTTGTTGTTCTGCTTTTTTTTTCTTTCTTACAGTGCAGCAATCCATAATAACACATGCATAAATAAACTGAAAACACCATCAGGGTTTCCATACATTTTTTACCAATGCATTTAGTTTTCCGGGTTTGTTTTGTGATTGCTGGATAAGGACATTTAACACTCACTTTTACATTCTGACTTGCCCAGTTTCTACAGTAAAAAATGAGATTTATTGGCTCTGTAAATAAAAGTACAGTGCAGTACAACAGTCCTGGATAATCACTCATTTTGAAATTAAACAACTGAAACAGTATTATGCAAAAGGTAACAAAGCATGCTGCAAAATATCACCTGAGAACAACCACAATCGGGCTTTCACTCCCAGTTACAACCATCAAGCCTTTCCAGATCATCAAGGCTGAAGATACAATCATTCCAAAATTCAGCACCTGATAGTAAAGCTGAAAAACACCAGAAGCTAAACATCAGATGGCTTTTCTTTGGCTCCCAGTTACTTAAATTTACTAGCGAAAGTATGTGTTGTTAGTAAAAATAATGATGATTGATGCAGATTTGAGATCTCTTGTAGTGTAATGCCTTAAAGTCAAAGTACTAATATATAAATGAATAGCACAGAATAACAGAATAGCAGCTTTTGTAAAAAGCCGCCTTCCTTGTTTACACCTACTCAACAACAAAATATTCAAAGTCATTCAAAGCATACTTCATCTCTACAACTCGCAATAATAATATGCATAAACGTTAAAGCCACTGTCATTCAAGCTGACGTGTAGTAAGAGAGCGCAAAGCAGAGGAAGCGCCGAGCTAACTGGCTAAATAAATACACACCTGCCGCTTATTCATTCGCCGGACATCGTCGAGGAAGTCTAACGATAACATTTCGTCTGTAGATTAAATATGTATGACAAAGGTCAATTAAAATAATTGCAAAATTGATCTTTTTTTGCAAACGTTTCGCCGCCACTGCTATAGTTAGCGGATACGCGGCGACTTCTCTGGTTGCGTTACTTCCGGTAAGAAGAGGAAGAAAAAAAACTACCGAGAGATGATAGGTTGTCGTTTCATTTTAAATATATGTATGTATAGATGGCTCCTGAATTATAATACTTTTGATAATTCTGTTCAACAAACTCAAATTCCAAGTATGTAGCTCTTGTAAATAGCTCTTCGATAAACTAGAGAACACAATAACACATGACCTGCTAGTGAGACGTGTTGTCACAGAAGGCCAGTGTGTGTTAAACGAACTACCTTTCCTAGCCTTCTTGTATCCAAGACTTGAAGTTATATCTGTACAGAAACTGACTTAAAATAACATCCTGACAAATAGTCATCTAAGTAAGTGTGAGACGTTTTTCACACTAGGAAAATCGTTTCATGGCAGATTTAAACGTATCAGACATAAAATGTACTGCGTGTGAACACTCTCGCATTCAGGAAAACTTGCATTTTTGTAAGTTTTAAACATGCATCTTGTAAATATACGATACTTACTTTTCATGAATTTTTAGGACTCTGTGTACGATGGGAATTTCTCTTCCCTCAATCCTGAACACAACAATCTCTCCCACTCTGATTGGATCTTCAACACGATTTGTGAGAAAGAGGAGGTCTCCTCTGTGAAACGCAGGCTCCATGCTTCCACTACAATAATAATGACATTAACAATTACACTTCACTGATGTAAATGTGATAATTTGTATCGTCTTGTGCAGCATTTGAATCATATGCCTCGATTATGTTTCAAACATCCTAGTGGGTTGCATATTTGGCTTCCCAACAAAAAGCTGGTTTTAAGAAATACTTAAAAAAAAAAAATAAGATTCATAAACTGATTTCAAAATTAAAACATGCAGGTTCAAAAAAACTCTAAAGTCACGTACATTTTAAGAAAAGTCTATAAAAAATCGGGCCCAATGCTAAAATGATGGAATTTTTCGAATGCGTTTTACCTGTATTTTGAATTACGCATTGCATTATGTTGTATTTTAGTTTAAGGAAGTTTCCATAAATTTAATGGATAACGTCTTGGAAGAAATTCACCAGTACTTTTTTTTGTTGTTGTTCTGCTTTTTTTTTCTTTCTTACAGTGCAGCAATCCATAATAACACATGCATAAATAAACTGAAAACACCATCAGGGTTTCCATACATTTTTTACCAATGCATTTAGTTTTCCGGGTTTGTTTTGTGATTGCTGGATAAGGACATTTAACACTCACTTTTACATTCTGACTTGCCCAGTTTCTACAGTAAAAAATGAGATTTATTGGCTCTGTAAATAAAAGTACAGTGCAGTACAACAGTCCTGGATAATCACTCATTTTGAAATTAAACAACTGAAACAGTATTATGCAAAAGGTAACAAAGCATGCTGCAAAATATCACCTGAGAACAACCACAATCGGGCTTTCACTCCCAGTTACAACCATCAAGCCTTTCCAGATCATCAAGGCTGAAGATACAATCATTCCAAAATTCAGCACCTGATAGTAAAGCTGAAAAACACCAGAAGCTAAACATCAGATGGCTTTTCTTTGGCTCCCAGTTACTTAAATTTACTAGCGAAAGTATGTGTTGTTAGTAAAAATAATGATGATTGATGCAGATTTGAGATCTCTTGTAGTGTAATGCCTTAAAGTCAAAGTACTAATATATAAATGAATAGCACAGAATAACAGAATAGCAGCTTTTGTAAAAAGCCGCCTTCCTTGTTTACACCTACTCAACAACAAAATATTCAAAGTCATTCAAAGCATACTTCATCTCTACAACTCGCAATAATAATATGCATAAACGTTAAAGCCACTGTCATTCAAGCTGACGTGTAGTAAGAGAGCGCAAAGCAGAGGAAGCGCCGAGCTAACTGGCTAAATAAATACACACCTGCCGCTTATTCATTCGCCGGACATCGTCGAGGAAGTCTAACGATAACATTTCGTCTGTAGATTAAATATGTATGACAAAGGTCAATTAAAATAATTGCAAAATTGATCTTTTTTTGCAAACGTTTCGCCGCCACTGCTATAGTTAGCGGATACGCGGTGACTTCTCTGGTTGCGTTACTTCCGGTAAGAAGAGGAAGAAAAAAAAAAAACTACCGAGAGATGATAGGTTGTCGTTTCATTTTAAATATATGTATGTATAGATGGCTCCTGAATTATAATACTTTTGATAATTCTGTTCAACAAACTCAAATTCCAAGTATGTAGCTCTTGTAAATAGCTGTTCGATAAACTAGAGAACACAATAACACATGACCTGCTAGTGAGACGTGTTGTCACAGAAGGCCAGTGTGTGTTAAACGAACTGCCTTTCCTAGCCTTCTTGTATCCAAGACTTGAAGTTATATCTGTACAGAAACTGACTTAAAATAACATCCTGACAAATAGTCATCTAAGTAAGTGTGAGACGTTTTTCACACTAGGAAAATCGTTTCAAATGTAGTAGAAATAAACATGTTAAGAATCAATAGAAGCGGAGGACTATTATTAAGGTTTTTTTTAGGACTATTATTATGTTGTAATGTTTGGTTGACCAATTAGCAGAGAGGGGCGTTTCATTCCCGCCCACATGTAGAGATCGAATATTCAAGTTGTTTATTCGTTTTCTATCCCTGAATGTAAAAACGAAAAATTAAGCCGGATTCTTGATTTTTCGTTTTGTTTGAATAATTGAAAAACTAAATATGTGCCCGTTTTTCATTTTTCAGATTTCAATATTAAAACAAAAATTGATTGGACGGAAGATACCCTGATTCACAAACTGTAGCTGTCTCTGATGTCTTTAATATGTAAATAATTTTTTCCATACAAGCATTTACAAAAGTGCTCAATTTGATTGTAAGAATGGCTCATTGAATATAAATGACATTGAAACTACTAATCGACATGGAATGAATATGAAAATATACTTTCTCTGAGTGCAGATACCTGGGTTTAAGTGAATACCATTTAGAATAATGCAATCTCCATAGTAGCAATGCAGTTACAGATGTTTAGCTTTGTGTGATACAAGCACGCTACCTAATAAATATAAAATAAACATCAGACCTGCCCTTCCTTCAAGACCAGCACAGCATAAGCACCACCAAAGATTGACCATCAAATGTACTAAATTCTTCAGTATTTTTTGGTGACCCTGAAAACAGTCAAAATATTAAATGACTGTCTCACTTATGGCTACACTGAGTAACATACATAACATTTCCTGCGTTGTAATGTACCCAAGACAGATTTGACGTGGTACATTAACAAAAACATACATTTGCTCTGTAGCAAAACACTGTAATACACTGACATGATGCTTTTGCAATTACACAAAAATAAATTATGATTATCCACATACATAAGATGGACAAGCAAGCAGTAAAAAAGTGACAATTAATTGCATGAATTTAACAGTTAAGTTAATTCAAATAATGCATTAAAACTCTGTCTGTTTTAAACATTATTTCATATATATGATAAATGACATGAGATATAGTATTTCACTGTAAGGCAACATGTTTCCAGTACCACATTTATCAGCTGCATATTCAGCAACCATTGCTTGCAATTAAGTTGTTTAGCAGCTTTCCATTGTAGTCCTTTCTTCTGTTCAGGCCTTTTCTTCCTCAAATCCACTTGCTTCTGATGCCTGTGTGTTGTTACTGATGTTGAAAGCACTGTCTGTGGGCTCACTGTGGAGTTTGCTTTGCTCCTTCTCTGTGGACAGGCCAGTCTTTTTTGCTGAAAGAGGTACGGGTTCATCGCTCAAGTCTGTTGAGTGTTCTTGTCCTTTCCCTGCGTCCTCTTCGTTAAAGTCCTCATGCTTCTCCGGTTCTTTGACCTTATGTACAATGGTGAGGTGTCTGCTGAGTGCTAACTGAGATGTGAAACATAGGCCGCAGTGCTGGCACTGGGGTGTGTCGCTGTCGGTTGTGTGTTGAGGTATGTGCTCCTGAAACTGGGCCTGGTCCTCAGATTTAAAGCCACATTTGGCACAGAGATAAAGTGGCTTATGTCGCTTGGCACTGACGCTGTATGATGTTTCCCCATTTCCTGCTACTCCATGAGCCCCCTCTGCTTTTCTTTTCAGCTTCTGAAAGAGGAAAATGTAGTAGGGTTGTGACGGTGAGGAAATTTTCCCACCGGTTAATCGACGTGTGACAACACCGGTAATACCGGTATCACCGTAGGGGCGGGGGCGTTCCCTTTTTCCTAGCTTTCCAAATCACATTAGGAAAGCCACAATCCAAAATATTGCCAAACAGGCGCTTTTGCATCTCGTTTCGAAACTAAATCATCTGCCATCGTCTTGCCTGTCTCACCTCACTCTTTTCGTCAGTCAGCTCGACTCACTCTCCTCAATGGATAAATAAAATCTGATCTGTGATGCGACATTCGGCACGCTGCATTGAGCAGCCGTGTTCAGTTTTTAATTGTAGTGTCTGTTCTTTTACTGAATTAAATGATTTTTATTACAATAAAAAAATCAAAACGACGGTGGGGGTCGGTGCTGCGGTGGGCAAGTGACATAAGCGGTGTTGCGTTGTCACCGTCAGCACCATCTATCGCGGCAAGCCTAAAACGTAGTAGCAAAAGCTGTATCTGATATAATGTTTCTATAAAATAAATAAAAGAAGATTACCTCCCCTGTGGGTTTGCCCACCTCCTGAGATGCTAGCTTTGCCATTTGGCTGAAATCTGGATTCTTGATTCCATGCATCAAGTTGATGTGGTTCTTTAGCATAGAGTGTTTAGTGAAAGATATCCTCTCAGTTGTGCAGTACCTTCAGGGTTTAAAAAGAAAAATACAACACAAAGTTGTACTCTTAAGAAAAGTGCAAAATAAATGTTGATAAAACTTCTGAGAACATTAAATCACTTTTTAATTATACAGTATAGTGATTTTACCAGCATGTGTAAACTTTCCTTCTTCCATCGTGGTCACTTCGAAGGTGTCGTTTAAGACTCAAGGGTGAATTGAAGGAACTTTCACATAGCCGACATGGGTGCCTCTTTATTGACTGCAAAAAGACAGGCATGTTCAAATGTGAGGATTTTGGATCACAAATTGACTAGAGCCAACAAAAAACAAAAAAACAGAGGAGTACTTGCAAATCAATCAAATGCAAAATCTCACATGCACCGCAAAGATTTTCACCTTGCCATGGCTGGTCTTCATGTGATTGATGTAGGTCTCTCTGTCGGGAACCCACAGGAGGCATTCTCCACAGGTCCAACCAGCATTCTTCATTCTAACTCCAGCACCTGACTTCTGTGCAGCAGAGCTCTCTCTTCCCTTCATGCAGGCCTCATTTACTGGTTTGGTCAACCCTGGTTGGAGTTTTTGTGGTGACATTTTATCAGAGAAAGATGTTGTCTCTGTCTTTTTGGGACTTTTTTCTGCTTCACCTCTGAAAACTCCACCATGAACAGTCTGCAGATGAAACAGACAATTTATTAGACTTTTTAAATATGAATAATTTTTAAATATCTGCATAATACAGTACCACTCTTGTTCTTCAGGTCAGCACTGACGAGATGAGACATCTCTAGTGCTGTGGCAGTAGACAATGACATAGGAAATAGCGATGGCAGATTAAAAAAAGAAATGACCTGCTCTTTGTTTCCACAATGCAACCACAAGATCACAAAAATCTCTCCTGGCGCTTCCATTCTGCCACAGTATTATGCTACAAAATTATTTTTCTAATTTTTTTTTAGTTTATCCTGCAATCTAAACTGAATACATCCCATGTTAATGGACCGTTTTGTATACTTTTGTTACTCTGTGTTGACTGCATTCATCAAGTTACAGCAGTCTGCCTTATCTGTAGTTAAAATGTATTGTAATTACTTGACAAATCAAACATGTCTCCCAAAAAAAAAGTTACACTGAATGACCACCTGTCATTTGCAAGCACCCCATCGCAACTGACATACTCTCATCTTGACCACTTCATGCCTCCCAGCATGCAATCAAACTCACGCAGCTCATGCAAAATGCAAATATGACCTATTTCAAAAATATTGGGGTTAACTTGAAAAAGAATCTTGCATGGGCTTGTTTATTTGCACTAGGTTTTATTGTACCATATTTTCCAGAAAATAAGTCGCACATGACTATAAGTCACAGCGGGTCAAATTTGTTTTTCATTATTACAAATCACAAATAATGTAAAATACTGGTAAACTACACAAAACAAAGGCTCACAAAAAATACTATAAATCAAGGGTGTCAAACTCAGCTCCTGGAGGGCCACTGTCCTGCAGAGTTTAGCTCCAATCTCAATTAAACACACCTGATCCAGCTAATCAAAATCTTCATGAGTCCTAGGCTGTGTCCGAAATTGCCCCCTCATTCACTATTCCCTACATTAGGTCACTAATTCAGTTCACTAGAAGGAGTGAATGAAAACGAGTAGTGAATTCAGACACTGAGTGCACCGGAAGGAATGCCGCTTTTGCATAGTTTGTGCTTGCGGTTTATGAATCATTTGAAACTAGCAGCTCCCGTAGTAAGATTAAAGGATTTATCTTGAACTCTGTCACGGAAATTATGTATAAACCCTAATCAAACAATTTAATAATCAATTTACAATGAATTTATACCCGTGTTGTACATTATGCTGTACGCCATGGATGAGTGCTTTGTAAAAATGAACGGATTGATTATTCAGCTGCGGGCGCCATTTTCTGGCAAGATGCGGGAATTCATTTGGCGCGTGACTCTCACGGTGCATTATGGGCATTCTCTAGCCGTTGAGCGTGCACCAGTTGTACACTTGTTTTTGCAGTGCATTGTGGGATTGAATGAGTGCACTCGAGAACGTCCACTATGGTTTCGGACACCACTAAAAATGGCTGTTCCCTCAAATAGTGCCCTATTTAAGGGTATAGGGGGGCGATTTCAGACACAGCCCCAGAAATTCCCAGGCAGGTGTTGGAGTTGGGTGGAGCTAAACTCTGCAGGACAGTGGCCCACCAGGAGCTGAGTTTGACACACTCTAAATTTAACAGCATTTAGATCCAAACAGGAATGAAAAATGTAACTTT